TTTACTTGATTTAAGTTCTTTAAAGATGTCATGAACCTCGTTGTAGGTGACTTCTTTAATAGTAAAATAATAGTTTAAATTTTTGATTAAATTTAACATAAAATTAATTGGATCAATTTTTGAAGGGTGTTATTTGGGGTATACTACAGAAAAAATTATTAAATTCGTCGGGCTCTATATTTGATGTACCTATTGTCTGTAGGACTATTTGTGTTATTATTGTTAAGTAACTTCCACATGGCTTTTGAGATATTTTTGGAGTTTAAAATATAGTTATCACTGGCTGATATTTTAGTTTGCTTTATTTTTTGTTATATTTCAATTTAAATTGTTTGAGTAGGAGACGAGTTTGTTCAGTAGGGTACATTTTGTAAGAGTCATTTATAAATCATAAAGTTTCACGCATTTTTTTTAAATTTTGGGGTAAACCAGGAGATTTTGTTTATTTTAGATTTTTTACCTTTTACAATTTTATTAGAAAATGCCAGATTTGCTTTGGATTCCAAAATTGATAGAAATAAAGTAAACTTTTTATCCAAACCATCATTAGAATCTATGAACGACCAGCCAATGAAACTAATTAACTCAAAAAATTCAATCTTACCTGGGCCTAATAGATTTTCAGAGTTAACATTTCAATTAAAATCAAATAGTATTCCGGAGTGATCAGAAATACTCGTATCAATAATCTTGGCATTGTTAAAATTCAATATATTTGTAAAAATATTGTCCAATGTGTTAGTACCCCTGGTGAGAGAATTGACTAGAGGGAACATGCTAAAGCTTTTAAATAGATCACATATGCACATTGAGCTTTTATCCTCAAATAAATTAAATTTTACATTAAAATCACCTACAACTATGACACTATTTACTCCATTAACTAATAACTTTAACATTTGTTCAATCTTATCCACAAAAATGTCGAAATTTTCAGATGGGCCTCTGTACACTGTTACTACAGCTAACAAGTCTAGGAAATAAAGTAGCGGCTAGTTCACAATCCTTTTCAGAGGATAAGTTGGTTATATTAATAATATTTTGATTAACCCAAGACGGATTAACTAATTGCATTACCCCACCATGTACTGCGACAAAAATACGAGGAGGTAATAAAATCGCTTATTTGATTTTTTTTTTATTCATCTTCACATAGCCAGTGTTCCGCAAGACAAATAATATCTGTGTTTAATTCATTCATTAATGCATCAAATATATTTTGTTTATTTCTAATGCTTTCGATGATTATAAAAATAATTTTAAAGGGATGTTATCATTCATAATCATACAGTTAGCATTAATCTTTGGTGCTGGGTTTACGAAAAAACGTATAATCTTTTACAATTACCCCTTGAGGCCACTTAGTCGAGTCAAAAAGTAAATTTTTGTATTTATGTTCAATACTCACTTTAAAAGAGCTATTTTTTCCTTTATTTTCCAGGGTATTTACTTGAAAAGACTGTTCTGGCCATGTTTCCTTTAAGTAATTGGATAATACATCATTTGTCACTTTACCTTTTATATGTCCAATATAAACATATGCATATTTTTCTACGCCTTGAATTGTACCATGGTTTTCATTGGACCCTTTAATTGAGTTTGATTTAATCTTAGGTTTATTTTTCTTCTTTACTTCTATGAAATCATCATTGATGTCAGTCATTTGAGTGTTATCCGGTATCACTGGTGATTTTGGGGGTTTTAGTTGTGAGGTCGAGGGTTTTTCTTTAGATAAACCTGGAATTTTTATATTGTTTTGATCCACTTTAGCTGCCCTCTCTTGGTCGGTAGATGATTCATTTGTTTTATTTATTTCTTCTACATTAACAATTGTCGATGCGATTAAGTTTTTTCCTTTCAATTGTTTTTCAAGCATATATTTACTTTTTCTTCCAACAATGTTTTATTTTCTATTGGAAGTGCATTCTTTTCTTCTAGTTCTTTAATTATTCTTTTTAAATGTGTGTTTTCGCAGCGTAAAATTTCGCTGCAGCTTTCGTTAGGTGTTAGTGCCAGAGGTGGTCCAGGAGTGGGAGACCAAAATAAGCAGGACCACTTACTTGGAACATCTTTTGAAAATTGTACACAATCTTCGGTTGTCAGGTTAGCACAATCTTTATAAAGATATATATGAAACCACTTCTTATCGCATTTTTTTTAATACACTTTCTGACTGCATAATACAAGGCAGCGGGTATCTAATAAAAGATTCCGAGGAAGATAATGAAGTTTTGCTCCCTCGTCCCCCCAAAATAGAAGAGGACATTAAATTCGGTTGTACCTCATTTGAAGACAACGAAATTAAAAATAATGATAATGAAGTGTTGGTACCTCGTCCCCCAAAAGTAAGTCAGTTCAAAAGGTGAACTTTAGAAGTGGGCATTAAATTAGGTTGTACTTCAATTGAAGACAACGAAATTGAAAATAATCCTGCAACGCCGACATCTTCACGGATTCAAATCCTGGAAGAATAAGTTATTTAATTCAAGTTTTGTAATAATTAATTATTAATCCTTTTTGCCTAAATACGACTTTTTTAGGTTTCGACCAGTCTTCTGCTTTAGTAAGTAGACTACTTATTGGATAAACTGAAACTTGTTAAAATTGTTTTTGTAGAGCTCCTATTTGGCAAATTTGGGGGGGTAAAGATGTTACAAATAAAATTACTCGAGTCTTAAAATATCTTGTAGTGGATAAGGTGGCAAAAAACTGTTATGAAAAGATTATTTATTTTATTACTGCAAACATTGTGATAAACTTAAGTTTAACCCTAATTAGGGTTGAATTTTGTTTTCTTTTATTTATGAAATTAGTAATAATAATAATTTATGTAGGGGTTAAGTTTTATTTTTTCTTATTTGGATGTATTAATGATAATGACCAAAGAATAAAATATTTTTATTTCCTGTTTTGTTATTTCTATTTATTGTCTTTTTAATAAATTGTTTTTTACACTTCGTATTTATAATGTTCTGGTCTGTCGTCATTGGTATGAAATGGTTTAACATAATTGCTACTTTACGGTCTAAAGATACGCATATAAGAAAAGAAGATTGCCTGCTCACTGGCAATCGGCGCCTATAAGCGTCGTCGACACTATACAGTAAACAGTTATCGACGCTTATGAGTGCCGATTGCCAGTAAGCTGGCAATTTGCTTTCTTTATGTGCAAATTTTAACGTCATTGGACGTAACGGTCTGACGTCATTGGTACGTAACTGGTACGTCGGCGTCGGCTGTGTCATTTTACTGTCCCATGACGTGTTTAAGACGTCATTGTGCTACCTGGGATGCTATTGTAAAGAAACCGCCACTGGTTTACAGGCCCTGCTTAAAATGCCCCATAGAGACCCTGTTCAAACCGATAGATATTTGTATCGGAATGTATGGTGTTTCTAAAGGGTGTATCGGTATGTATAGGATCCATAGTTGGGATTTATGGTTGTTCTATAGGGATATCCACCCTTGATTTATTTGCTATTGGTTTCAATAGGGAAAATACACATAAATGTAGAAATTAGTTTTTCCCCTGTGGAACCCTATAGGTTTTAATAAAATTTTGACAAATGTTTTATGGTTGCTATATAGGGATATCCCTATATATCCTTCATTGAGTTATTTGCTATCGGTCTCAATAGGCAAAATGTAAATGTTATGGTGTGCCTATAGGTAATTTCCTATAAATTTTCTATCGGGCCATATCCGGAAAAAACCATGAATCCGGTAGCGCCCGATAGATTATTTTGTACAGGTCTCTATGGGGTATTTTAAGCAGGGGAGTGTTTATAATCGTAAAAATCCCTTATCACGTTTAAAGGGATTGTTTATATTGTATTTATTTTTTATTTCATTGGTAATTCCAATTTGACATTTGTAAGATGTCGTAAAATAAAATGACCTTTTATATGATCCCAACTATTTACATTTTTACTTAAAAGTTTTTTTTTGAAAAAAACATTGTTTAAACATTTATTTGTTAAAAAATAAACTTTCGAACGACATCTTGGTCGGTAGGTATGGGGGACTAAATAGTTTTAAAGAACTGCCTAACTGCCTGTCACTAAAAGGTTTAAATTTTTTTTATTTATACGCGTTAAAAACTTTTTAATATTTATCAGTGCAATTGTCACATTAATTTGTACCCGGAATGCCCTGGTAAATCGACCATAAAAAATATGATTCGAAAACAACGAACTTGGTGAATGGTGAAAAGAATTATAACCATTTTTATTTGGTGATAATTATGAGGTCCAAAAATCTATTTCTGGATTAATTTGGGGTACCTAATTAAATACTGCTCTTTAATTATCTTAAGTCAGAAATAATTGTACTTGAATATTTTTTATGTAACAACCGTTATTAAACAACGAGTTAAACAGTTTGTTTGTACTTCAGCCAAATTAAGTCGTTCTAATCGCGTATTTTTCTTAACTGTATATTAGTTGAGCCTTTCGAACTATTTGAGCCTCCATTTCGATAAAAGTACCGTTAGAAAGGTAATTTTGTCCTCTTTAAAAAATATATTAAAAATTTTAATTTAGGTATATTCAATTGTTTAAAAAAAATAAAATGGTACAAATTTAAATAATTAATTTTAATATCTGGATCTGTATAACGACATCTTAGCCAATCGAACAAAAAAATAATAAAATCTGAACAATCCTGTAAAACGTGATCAGCGATTTTCGAGAATTTGGCCACCCTGCCATTAAAATAAAAAAAAATTGTTAAACCAATTTTAAAATGTTTTAGCCTAATATAATGATAGGTAAACAAATTTTGATAAAAATCTAAAATAATCGCGCAGAAAATCACACTTTTCTGTTACGTTTAAATTGGAACGACCACTAGGTCTTTTAGAACCTTTTTAATAAACAAATAAGATAGAATTTAAAATTTTGCAATGGGCGTCAATTAAAACCGCTAGCGTCACCCACGCAATCACGGTCATCTCAGTACTTTCTTGGTACTGACCCCTCCATAGCGGGTACCACGGTATACCGCAGTGAAGTTTAACACAGTTCGTTAGTTCTAGCAAGTAGTTGAGCAGTACGCGTGTTTCCTGCTAGCTTTTGGTACTATTGTGTGCATTTTATGTGATCGTGGTTGCCTTTTAAATACATTTGGATTACACGGTTCGTCAAGGTAAACACATGACTTATCGCCTTTGTTATGCAAAATGCTCCTGTTAGATTTTCTTAAATTGCTTATTTGTCGATTAATTTATGTTTAAAATATAATAAACAACTTGTTATAAGCATTTTATCAGTTTAATAAATCAAGTTATAAAATTGCAAATGCAGGTTACTTTAGTTCAATCTCAAGTTGGACGCTCTTTGTTTACTCAGTTTGCATACGCAAAATTCCTACGTTTTCTTAAATGATGGAAAAATATATCAAATGTATAACAGTTGGTGATATTTAAGAAATTATTTTAATGCCATGACATTATTCATTATCCATTGTGGTTAACCTTGGTATCTTATTCTGAAAATGTAGTTTCAATTTTTTACAATATTTATTTTATTTTATAGATACCTACTATTTTTTAAGAACGCAATTTTTCAGAATTTTGTTTGTTTGCTTGTACATAGTACCTATGTACAAAATTTAAGAATGGAATGTTGTTTGAAAAGAATTTGATATTTGTAAAAAGCCAGACTAAAAACATTTAAGTATAAGAATAATTAATATTTGCACTTTTTAAATACCTTTGATAAACAAAAGTTATTGTAGGTAATTATTATACTAGTAAAGCAAAGGTAATATTAGAAACATATTTTTAGTTTTATAATATTGTATTTTTAGCCATAAATAATATCTTTAATAAAAAAGGTTTTTTTTACTGGAAAATAGAAAAGACTACAAGTACTATATAATCTATTAAAACTTTAAGTACCTACCGTTACATCTACCTAGGTGTTTAACGGCAAGAATACCAGGTCTCCACAGTAAATAAAATCAAAGGTAATAAAGGTGTTTCGCAAATTATTTATATTTATTGTAAGAAATAAGCTTCTGATAATTATTTTAATTATACAGGGTGTCCCGAAAATCGCCAACTAAACGTTAGTTACTAACTATACAATGCGAAGGGGAAGTACGTACTATTTCAGTCCAAATATAGTTTAGTACGCATAAAATTTAGTAGTACCTATTTACTTCAGCTACGCCGTTTAGTAGTTTTTCATTTTATAGCAATACAACAGTGTGATTTTTTTGAGTGCAAGGTTTTGTAATGTCAGTAACACTGCGTTAGGTACACGCTAATCTGACAATGCTGCACTGTCGTTACTAGAGCGCGCAGTGACAAAGAAAGAATATATGAACTGTCATTTTCATATAATTAATAATAACTATATTTGATCTACAATTAGGATTGAGCGTCAAACATGCTTCTTAATTCTTAAATTTTAACGAAAACTCATTTATTCGTGTTCAAAAATGTTATATTTTGCGGGCTCCTTATAGGTTTATAAAAAGACAATTATTTCAATAATAATTATTTCGATGACAGTTTGTAAAAACTATAGTATACTTTGATTAGGTATATGTAAAACAAAAACATGTAAAATAAGTGTATTGTCATTTATTTTTGTAAGAAACTGTAATACCTCTGCTAAATAAGCGTTTATTTATTTACTATACAAACTATTTTTGTAATAAGCCAAATACTGCCATGTGCGTAATATTGCCAGCCATATTAAAAATTTGTAAAGCAACCATGATGCATCATTTAGTGACACCGAACAGTTTAAATCTAATATCAAGATTTTGAATTTTGATTTAGTCACGTGTGGTGTGGGTAAATATTGGTAAATATTGGTGAAAATTTTAAAGGTTTTAAACCGAATACATTTATGATGTATAGGTATTGTAAATAGTAAAAAAATACATTTATTATCAATATTGCAATATAACATTGCCATGGAAAAAATATGATAAAGAAAAGGAAAAAAACATTCGACTCATAGTGTTGTTTCATATGAAGAAAAACCACCACACCAATAATGAATAAGATTTTTAAATGCATTGATTTGTCTTTTCGGACTTTTTTATAAGTTAGGTACTTATTTGAAGTTATTATTTTTAATTTTTAGTATCTTTTGATCAGGGGTTCCAAATGTTGCCAGGATTATGAAAATTAAAATTAAAATAAGCTATTTATTTAGTCATCATTGAAATAATTAATTGAAATAATCTATTTAGTTATCAAAAATTAAAACCAAAAAAGTAGGTACCTAAAAATATTATTTATTAAAAAGTTAAAGTTCCTAAAAATTATATTTTATAGATTAGTTAAATTTAATTTTTTTACAATTGTTTTAAAAATATGAAAAGGTAAATAGGTACATATAGCTGTGAATAAGGTACACAAATATTTAAAATAATTACAACTGTTTTAGAATATTAATATTTTAATTTTTTTTAAGGTGGTAATATTTGGCTAACCTACCATACATTTTTACCTATAAGTTGAAAACTATATTTATCGATTTCCCAACATTTAATATAAAAAAACAATTTAAATAGGAGAAAATGTTTGTTAACAATTAATTGTTATGGTAATTTGGGCATGTTTGCTTGTTTCCTGCTCTCTTAAAATTAATTAGTCAAAAATTACTATTAATATTCTAGTCAACAGCAATTTGTATCTTTCAATGTCTATATAAAATTGTCAACTGAATCCAAAACGGCGTCAAAACTTATAAAAGTATATTCTATAGAAAACTTTTTGAGATATAGTTAATTCCATATTATTTGGAAAACTGCTCTACTTTCATAAGTTTTGATGACGTTTTTGGATTCAGCGGACAATTTTACACAGGAATTTACCGGGATACAAATAAGTCATTTTTGACTAATTTATTTTAATTTTAGATGGTAGAATTGTTAAAAGATCCACAATGGGTTGTGATGTTTTGGTTTTTAGGTTCAGTTTTTTTTACATCGGTTTTCTAGGATTTTGTTGGATTATTTGCCTTTAAAATATGTGAACAATATTTTAAATTATATTTATGTAGGTATGTATCATGTGTATGTAAAAAATACCTCGTTAATTTTGTAATTTACTGTTTACAATGATTCTCAACAAGTTGTTTATATATTATAACAACTAATCTTAACAATCTAAAACTCCCCATATCAGAGCGTAAAAATGGCTGCGGATTATATCTTCTTTTAATACAAGGTGCAATAGAATGCGTAAAGGTACAAACCACAGAAATTTTCTGTGGTACAAACGCAATATATCTCTAAATATGTGGGTAGGACAAGCCATAGCAAGATTCCCAGAGCATGAACGCGCCGTTGCAACGCGTTGCCGCAATGTAGCCATGTTGCCTGGTTGTTAATATTTTAGTAGGCGTAATGGTATATTAATAATTATTTTATTATTTAGCAATTCTCTTAATGTATGAGGGCTTCTATATGATTGGGGCCCCCGGGCACCGCACCGAACTGCCCGGTCATATGTCCGCCCCTGTCTATATTATAATAAGCGAATAAGCGAATGGCTGCAGCCATTTTAGATGTCAATTTTGAATATTTTTTCCTTTAACTTGCAATTGCACATTTAATTGTTTAAAGCATATTTTTGATTTATAGTTATCATTTATTTGATCACACCAGTGGCAGCTTGTTTGACATGTGAAATGTTAAAATCAAAGGAAGGATTGTGTCAGGCTCAGCGACTCAACTCGTCTTTTAATTTGACTTTATTTACTTTTACGCGGTTTATAAATAGGCAAATTTTTAATTATAAACTTTTAGTGTGCGGCAATGCATAAAATTAGCATCTTAAAAAACTCTTTTGGTAGTTTTTTGGTTAAAAAAACTAAAAATTAAAGAATTAGGTCGGCTATACCCGATTTAAAAATTAAAAAACAAAGTGGAAGTGGACCAAAATCTCGCTGTCATTTGCATTTTTACATCAGGTCGTTAAACGAGCGTTAAAACAACCGCAAACGATAATTGATTTACGACGTCGGTCCAACGTCGGCAAAGGAAAATCAATTTCCGACGTCAATCCAACGTTGGACCGACGTTGGCAACCCATTATCGCATTTTTATATCGGGCCATTAAACGAGCGCTACGAGTAAAACATCGGCAACTGATAATCGATTTCCGACGTCGCGACGCGTCGCACACTAGGCTGAAAAACCCGATTCCAGTCAAAACTAATTTTAACAAAAACTACAAAAGATATTAACTTTGGACTACATATTAATGGATATAAGGGCTTTAACACTTGCAAAATTCACACTTATGTATAAATACATCCAGTGGCGGACATTTATTCGTTAAATTTCTTTATTCCGACCAAATTCCACTTGATGGTAATATGGATATATTATTATTATTTTACAAATAAATATACTTATTTAAAAAAAAATCAAAATGATTTTAATAAATTAAATCCAATATAAATTTTAAAAATAAATACAGTAGGTGTTATATTAAATAAAATCCCGGCACAAAATAAGTAGGTATTATTCTCTACTCTGGTTATAATTTTGCGTAAAAAATCGCCAATATCAATTAAACAAGAAAAAAAATGGTGTGACCTATGTGCTTTATTATTTTGCAACATTGTCTACTAGAGGATGATATATATAAAGTTTATATACAAAAGTTTATATACAAAAGTGCTCTTTTAGTTCCACCCTTACTTCCTAAGAAGTCCCAGAAGCCAATTGAATAGCTTGTGCGGGTTAGGGGTAGGAACGGACCGTGGGCTTAAAGTCCCCTCCGAAGGACTATTACACAATAGGACAAACACAAATAAACAGCCATACCCCTGGTGTGATTCGAACCCAGGACCTCCGGCAATTCAGCAGCACTAACCACTTCCTTGAAGTTTTTTCTATGTTTCAAAATTTTCTAGTAAAAAGTGACCACTGAAGTACTTTTGTCCAACGCCCGCGGCATAAGCAATACAACTCACCGCTGCTTACGCACGCTAGCTAACTATATACTGCAATACTTAGTTGGACGTGTGCGTCTGTGATGCCACAGCTGAATAAGGACGGTGCTATAGGTTTAAAGCGTGGTAACATATCATGCCATTCAGAGTGCCACTGTCTCCTATTGACGGTGGGCCGACATCGTATGCCACCAGCGGGCTGATATCGGCATACGACGAACAACGGCGGGCTATAGTCCGTCGGCCGCCTAATGGCCGATGTCTCCTATTGATGCCGGGCCGACGTCGTTTGTCACTGGCGGGCCGACGTCTTTAAGATCGCCATGCGGCCAATTTTTTGTGGGGTGGTTGTGTGGTGTCGAAGAAACGTTTGCATTTGCACCATCTACCAACATTCTGGAACTACCTTTTTAGATTTATTCGAGGCGCCCATTGGATCACACTGGTCAACACTAAAAATGTATATCTTCTATAGGGTAGGTATGTCCTTCCTAACACTTTTCTGGGATGTACCTACTGCAAGTTGTACTCTTTGTAAGCTTGTGTCGTACCTTTTTTTTTTGGAGGGGGATATCCGTCATGGACACCCAGCGCTGTTAGTCAATCGCACTGGGTAGTGCCGGACTCCTACCAGCTAAAACCCTCTCCTTTTCTTACCCTTTTCCTGTTTCATAGATTGGGTTGTAGAGGCGGGACCATCGCGCGATATTACTTTACCTCTACACCCCTGTCCTTTATTGTCTTAGCATCCTTTGCCTTTCTCTTTCCTTCTCCTCCTTGGTTTTTATTACAAGTTCGATCATTTTCACTATCCTTTCCCAGTTCTTTTCGGATTCCAGCATCTGATCAAGGATATTATCCGGATTGATGTGTCTGATATCTGATCTGGCTTCTTCCCATCTTTGGCACTCGAACAGCCTGTGTTCCGCAGTATCCGCCGCCCCGCAGTACCAGCATAGCTCGTTGTCGTCGATTTTAAACCTCGTAAGGTAGGTTTGGAAGCAACCGTGCCCCGTTACCATTTGCGTGATGTAGTAGTTCACCTCGCCGTGTTCTACTACACCACTTTGTAATGTCCTTAAGAACTCTTTTGGACCATGCCGACACCCCACTACTTAGCCTCCACCTTTCCTGCCATATCCCTAGTGTTTTTGTTCTTAGCTCCTTTCTGTCTATGTTTTTGTTCTTATTCACTTCAATTCTCTCTTGTACGAGAAGATCAATGGGGGGAACTCCTGCCAAAGCCATGATGGTGTCGGTCGCCGCCGTCCTTTAGGCCGAGCATATCCTCAGCACCATTCTGCGTTGGATCCTTATAAGTTTGTCCCTGTATTTCCTATATTTCAAGGCCTCGTGTCATACAGGAGCACCATACAGCATGATGGAAAGCACTACCCCATTTATTGTTCTTCTCTTGCTTGCTCTGGGCCCCCCATATTAGGCAGGATTTTGCTAAGAGATTGGGCGCTTTTTTCGGCTTTTTTAGGATCGATCCCTGTGGGACCCCGCATGAGGCTTTCATACTTTTCGTGCTTCCAATTTTAATATGTCTGTTGTTGAGGTAGTCGCTAATAATTTTAATTATGTATGGGGATATTTCTAGGTTTTGTAGGGTCCTTATTATTCCGGACCAGGATGCACTATTAAAGGCATTTTTAACGTCTAGGGTGATTAGCGCGCAGATTTGTCGGTGTTGGTATGCCTTTTCCCTTTCTTTGTGTACGATTTTTTGGACCCCGATAGTGCATCGATGGTCGATCTTCCCTCCCTGAACCCGAATTGCCTCTCGGACAAGCACTTCTTGTCTTCTATCTCTTTCTTGAGGCGAGCTAGGATGATATGTTCATATAGCTTTCCCCAGGTGTTTAATAGGCATATGGGCCTGTATTTGGTGGGTTCTTCTCACCCTTTCTTCTCCTTGGCTATCAAAACTAGCTTAGCCACTTTCCAAGTATCCGGGAATGATCCCTTTGCTCCCAGTGTGTTGAGCAGTTTCAACAAAGGTACTGGCAGCTCGTTAGCTACGATTTTTGTCACCTCAGCGGGAATGCCATCTAAACCAGTTGCTTTGCCTGGTTTTAGTTTTTTGCGGCGTTTCTTAGTTTCTCAATGTTGAAATCCACAAAGTTGCACCCCTCTACTTCCACGTATCTGTTTTGATTATCTGCTACCTCCGGGAATAAGCCCCTCGCAATGCTGGCCTGCTCTTCGTCTGCCAGATTCAGGGGGTGGAGGGTCCGAAGTTCTTTTGTCACGATCTTATACCCATCACCCCAGATGTCCATGTCTAGCTGTTCGATCAGTTCTTTCCAAGCATTTTTTTTTGACTTGGCTATTGCCCTTCTCAGGTCCTTTTTTGCCGTTTTATAGTCGGTCCAATCCGAGGGTTGGGACATGTAGTGCCTTCTATTGCTCCTTGTTAGGATCCTTTTGGCATTGCAGATTTTCCTGAGGTCTGCGATCTCCTGCGTCCACCAATACGCTGGACCCTTAGAGCCTCTGCCCTTTCCTCTCCTTCTGAAGGTCCTATCGCATGCCTCCTTAATGGCCTCGTCCCACTTTGCTGCGCCGGTAGTGTTCCGCTTAGCTACCGCCATTTTGAGTTTCCAGATAAACTCCTCGCGTTGCTCAAGTTTTATGTGCCATTCGGGGAGGGGAGGCCTTAGCTGTTTTGTTGTGGTGCTTTGTATTTGGTAGGCAATATATCTATGGTCACTTAGGCTTTCTTCCTCTAGGACCTCCCACTTGTTCACTTGCCTTACCAGGTTTTCTGAGCACGCTGTGACATCTATATACGATTGTTGCCGTCCTCTCGCAAAGGTGGGTGTATTGCCGGTGTTCAGGATATGCAGGTCTTCAGTCGCAAACCCTGGTGTCATCCAGTGGTGACCCCACAGAACAGATTTGGCATTGAAGTCTCCTGCAATCAGTGCCACTGTGTTGCGGTTCCTTAGTCTGTACGCGCGTTGTAGTGCGTTTATGTAATTATGGAATTCCTAGATCACAATGTTGGGGGAGATATAACATCCGAAAATTGCCATGTTGTCGATACGGATCCAAACGTACCCATTTCCTTTGCCAGTTTGAGCGCATTTTATTTCTTTATTGAGGCATTTGATAGCTACGTTTTTTAGGTTGTCGCAGGTCCAACCTCCTTCTTCAACCTTTTTTTTATTAGTCTCTGATACGATGATAATATCATATTTCTTTTCCATTGCGTTGTGGAGGAGGAGGTCCATTGCCTCTCTACCTCTATTCGTGTTACTTTGCAAAAATGTTATCTTGGGGCGGGAGTCTGCCCTCCCTTAATGCTTCTTGTCCTCTCCCTAGCTGCCTTTCTAGCCTCCCAGAGGGCCGTCCTGTAGTTTGGGCATTTGGAAGAGTCAGCTCTGTGGCCTTCCAAGTTGCACATTTGGCACTTCTCCTTGTTTGTACAGTCCTTTACGACATGACCTTCCTGTGCGCATTTTAGGCACGTTTTCTTTCTGTCCACTCTCGACTTTTCTTTGCACTCTTTGGATATGTGTCCCATCTTTTGTTTCTCTTTTTAGCGCTTCTTCAATTTCTTCTTCCGTTGTTCCTGGTGCCAGGTTATTTAGGAATAAATGGAGGACAGGTTGCCTCTCTTCCGTTTGTGCCACATCTGTCTCCTCTTCCATTATTTTTGCACTTAATTTAGAACAGGGTCCCTCCACTTTTTCTGTGATCGTTTATGTCTCCCTGTTTATTTGTTCTGATTTTTTCAACGTTTACCTGGTATGAGTCTATGTTAACTTGTTGTCGCATTTTTTTGAGTATTTCGTTATAATTTACGCTTGTGTCGTTGCGCTTAATTAGGATGCTCTTTTTTAGTTTTCTTTTTCTGCGTTCTCCATGCCTCTGTTATTTGATTAGGGTTTCTTTCCTCCTTGTCCCCTTCTTTAATATAGATAATGACCTGTGTCGTGCAGTCGTGAAATATTGCTTCCGTCATTTTTTTAAATCTGTCTAGTCCCATTTTTTCCGGCTTGTGTAGGGCGATGTTTTCTTCTTCTTCGCATTCAGTTTTGAGCATCACCAGTTTTCCGTAAATGTCTTCTTCATTATCATTATGTGTAATTTTGGCTACCTTTCGTTTGGTCGTTTGGCCGGCTTTTGCGGTTTTGATTTTGCTTTCCATTTCTAGGATGCCAAAATCCTCAATGATATCGACTAGCTCTGGAAATTTATTCCTAAATGATTTTTGGATTCCTTTTTCCATTTGCTTATCGTTAGGACTAATCTACACTACCTTCATTGCCTGATCTTTGGTTTCCAAGGGGTTACCTTCTTTGCAGGTCGTATTTGTAAAGACAGTGTCTGCTGGCTTTTTGTTCCCAATTCTGAAAGTTATTGCAGTCTTCGATGTCGTATACCTCAGGTTTCCTGTTCTCCGTACTTATTGCTTCAGTTGTCTGGGTTTGTGTTGCTATGTCATTTGTACTGTTGCCTACGGTTTGTTAGTCCACATCGTATGTTGGCTTGGGTACCGGGATATATTTATGGCTGTCTAGCCACTCCTTGATAGTTATCCTTTTCAGGTTTGCTGTTTTGCTGCTGAGTTTGACTATTAGCTCTTTCATCTCTGTTTTCGTGTTCTTGTTTTCGGCTGATATTTTTTCTAGTTTCCTGGAGAACAGTACTATGGCCTCAAGGGTTTCTATTAGCTCCCTAGCTATGGGGCACTTGTTCCTTTTGGTGGTTTGTACTTCAAAGGATTGTCTTCTCCTTTTGAGATCCTGAGGTTCGCTCCCTAATAAAACATTTCCCAGCAGATTTAGATCGCTGGGGCCTTTACTTGCCCTTCGTTTCTCCTCGTAGTCCTTTTTTAGGATAGAGGCATTGATTCCGTCATCCCACGTGAGATCTAGGGTACCGCATGACCCACTTCTGGGGCGGTCAAGTATTGTATTCCCCCTCGTGAAGAATCCAGTATATTTCGCCAACTCCACGGCCTGGTTTCCTACCGTGAGCGTACAGTTGCTGGCTGACGGTCGGTTGGGGCCTGTACTACCACCATCGTTCTGGGGTTCCGAGCCCCTGTTCCGTAAGCATTTTTCCTGTATCGGAGTCCATGCGTGGTTTTTCAAATGCTTTCCCTCCATTGCCTTTTATCCCTGCGGCCAGGTTCTTACAGTTGGTGGCTAACGATCGGGCGGGGCCTGCTTGCGCACCCGCGGCACCGACCGGAACTAGGGTGTCCCTCCCTTGCTCCGTAGACATTTCCTCGTAATACGACTTCATGCTTGGTTTGAATGGCGTCCTTCCATTGCTTTTTATACCTACGGCCAGGTGGTATGTACGGCCGCTCCTCTGGAGTCAGACGCCGACCCAGAAGCCGCCCGTCTCGGGTCAGACGCTTTGGGATTTGTGTGTGTTTTTTGGTCCGCGAGGGTACTTACGACCCCTGCCTCCCATATCTGGGAGGCTTTCCCCTATCCGCCACCCGGGGACGCACCACGATGGAGGAAACACACAAAACCCCACACGGGCCTTAAGTGCTCTACCAAGGTTCCTCGTCGGTTGACTCTCCAGATACAGAGAAATACCTACCTCGGGTTGCTTTTATTCAGTGAAGAAAGTAGTGTTTATAAGAATCAGTTAGGGTTGGTGGTCTAATTTAAAATGCAAAACTAACTTAAACCGGTTTATTTACCCAGGTAAAAATATGTACAAAATCATAGAATCATTGTATACATTATATACAGTATTTACAAAAGTATCGTAGACTGTGAACACAAAGGTTCTTTCATAGCCTTTAATCAGGACAGGCAAATGTCACAGGGCTTTTCACAGGCAACTGGCAGGCACGGGCATGCTTTTCAGTCCTACAGAGAGACAGAGCAGATTTGCATTTTGGACTCTAGGGGAAAAATACATATTGTTAGGTTATGTTTATGCATACAGGATTTACAGTTTAATTAACTCTGCTTATTAAAGTTTAATGTTATACGGCATAAAGCCCTGACATATTAGAAACAGGTTAACTTACTGATAATATTCCACTGAGAGTTCTCTGTGATTAAGTGTTGGTTTTCGGGATCACAATTGGTAACACCATTTGGAGTTGAGCCACCAGACGCGACTGATTGTCCATTGAAAAATGCAGCGGTTTCTGGTAGTCCAGCTCTTTCCTTGACGTCGGGTGGTTAGGAAAATCATCTCATAGATCTAATCGTAATGTGCAACGTTACAATCTCCAACAGTAATCGGGCATTATAATATATATGATCCAATTACTGTTGGAGCTTACAAATATATCTCACATTTCATGATAACGCTATTGTACGTATCTTAATAAAAATTTAATATTTGAATTCAGTGTACCTACTCAAACAAGCCGTACGCAAATGCAAATTTGGGAAGTAAGTACCTACAAGTAAATTATTTTCTTCATCAGTGAAATTTTTAATATTATATAAAAATATAATTTAAACATATTTTTATTTATAAATTTATATAATTCGATTTAAACACAAATTGTTGACTATTATTTTTATCCTGTATTAAACTGTATATGGGAACTATATATATACTATAATCGTAATATGTATTGTATTTGTACAGCTTTTATCCTTAACAACACAATACCTATCACTTAAATATATGTTTAGGGCCAAATAACTAACGCAAAATATAAACAGCGGAAGATGAGATCATATTTTAATTTAAAACGTATTTACCTATTGTTAAAAAAATAAAGTTTTACTAAATGTAAAAACACTAAATAAAACGGTGATTCCAAATTAAAAGTAACAACGTATTGCGCGATAATTTTAGAATTGTAATAAAATTTGTTTCTGACTTTACCTCAGGCCCAACCATAAAAAAAATGTTTGTGATTTTCAATTATTTTAATATTTATTATTATTTATATTTTATTCGAATGGAATTTGTAAGATGTCTATGTAAAAGTATTAAAAAGGCCTTAAAGATTCTAGAATATTAATAGTAAACTGTTTTAAATTTTAATTGATCTAGGTACCAAATTATTTAATTTCTTTTTCTTAAACAATGTTTAAACATTTATTTAAAAAAACAAATTATAGTCCAAAAATTTAAACTTCAATAGTATATTATGTATCAAGTTTGATACACGCCATTTTATACACGAATTTAATTTAGGCACGAGCGAGCTTGCAAGCGAGTGCTTAAGTTAATGAGTGTATAGAAAAGTTTATAAACGAGGTGCATACTATACTTTTTCTACGACAAATACTTATTATTATCTTAAAATGATTTAAATCAAAAATTAAAATTTGTATAGAGTGCCATCTATGAAACAACAGGGGAAACTGTCAAATATCACATTTTTACATTTTATAAACACAATTATAAAGGTTATAAATCAAAATGTATCTTGAAAATTGATGGATTTTCACAGTGAAAGTAAAGGAAATGTTTTATGAGGACTTTACAGTAGAGTCCGTGCCCGAATTTAAGTTATAGTTTACTGCCGGCGAAATTAAAAGGTCAGTACAATGTTCATATAAACTTTTCAAATATTGGCGTTGAGAAACTATTTAATATTTTTGTATTTTTGTATTGAGATAATAAAATAATTTTCACATTTAGTATTATTTTATAAGAAAGGCACTTTATTTTAACGATTGTATGACATTTGACAACTGTCAACTAACTTAAAACTAACTTTAGCCTGTGACTAAAAACCTGTTGCTAACTTCAGCCCTTGACTAAAGCGCCGTAAAGCCACAACTTGTCAATGTGCACATGTATTTAAAAGGTCACTTAGTGTCATGGAAAACATGTACGATAAAGGGCGTTTTAAAGGTGGGAGTAGAAAAAATATTTTTTGTAAAAAAGAGGACACTACAACCTTTCCAACGTCATTTTAGTTGTTGTGGGGGTCTAAACAGTTTTGAAGAAAAATTTGTTTTCAATAAATCGTGACACGGTTATAGTAAAGTTGCTTAGTGCTGTGGTAGTGCGTGCTACTAGATTGTGTGTACCTCGCGTTACCTGTTTTCAGAAACTTACAATTGTTGACAATTTCGTCGTAACTGCCTGTCACTAAAAGAGTCGCAATGATTCATCAAATAACTAAAAGATAAATTTTGGAAGTTAGAAAGATTTCATGCCATGTCCACAGAAAAAAATTAGCGAGATTAATGCTGGATTTATGCAGCACACATTAACATTAAGTTAACATTAAGCTAATTTAAGGTGGGTATTTTATGCAGCAAAATTAGTGGCAAATTAATTAATGCATGCTTAAGCATGCGTATAAGTTAAGCATGCGTATAAGTTAAGGTAATTTTGACATCTGACATTTTTGGCTTGTTTGAATTTTGTTTTTTCCCCGTTTTAGCATCTGTTAGTCAAAATAAATGAAAACTATAAACTGCACATCAAACAATAAACCAAAGAACACAATCATTAAACAAAAAATAAATCATCCAGTAGTAAATTTCATTTTATTTTCGGGTATGTTGGCATTACTGACACGGTTTATTTAAAAATTGCACCGCAACCTGCGCAAGACGAATAAAAATTAACATTATCATTAAAAGTTGGCCATCTGTTAAACTTAACTTAATTTGAAAGTTAATGTTAATGTGTTGCATAAAAGCTTCCAATGGATTACGTTCATTTAACTTCTTAATGATAATGTTAATATTAATGTTAATGTTAATGTTAATGTTAATTTGTGCTGCATAAATCCAGCATAAGTCATATCATGATATGCTAAAGAATGTGTAATGCTTATCTTCCACCAGAGTCATTTTTGGAATAAGCGTAACAAAATTAAGCTAAAAAAGTATTTGTCCACCATTTGGCAAAATTGCTGTCGATCAGTGATGTTTAAAAAAATACTGGGTTTAAAAGTAGGTTTCGTGTATTTCGGCCGTAGTTTTGGTATATTGCCTTTAAAAAGTGTATTTTAGAGTTTGATGTTACTTTATTTACCCAATTAGATACATATGTAAAATAAGAATTAAATAAAGAATTTAAAAAATTCTCATTAAATATTTTTCGTCGGAACTTAAAAAAGTTTAAAGACGTTTAAAAGTATGGTTAAAAACGTTGATATCAATTTTATTAGCAATAGTCCAATGTTGTTTGAAAGTGGGTTTTGTGTATTTCTGTCCTTTTTGGTTTATATAATATAGGTACACGACTTTCAAAAATATATTGCAGAGTTTACTTTTATAACTAATGTATTATGAAAATAAAAATTAAAAAACAAATCCACATTACAAATTTTTTGTTGGATCTTGAAAACTTAAAAGTATTATATACAATACATTTGTCCAAAGTTTCTAATTCAAGGTTTTAACTAAGTATTTCCCACTTAAAATTATGTATTCAAACGTTTCCATCGAACGTTTTAACTACGTATTTTCTACCAAAAATCATACATCCAAACAACGTTATAACGTATATATGCGTATAACAAATTATAATACAAATTTCCAACGTTGTCTGAATGTAGTTAAACAATATTTTCTTCCAGGGTTTACTTTACAGCAAAAGAGAAAACCTTATAAATTAAACTTCAGTTATTAACCATTAAAGCTTAACCTTTTTAGATTGGTTAATCAATAATTATAATTATAAATAATAGTTAATAGTATATTAAAAACTACCCTAAACCTTCGCAAAAAATACTTATTTTGTGTTTGTTCTAGATTCAGCGTCTGATCATGGTACAACGATCATAAACGTTATTTCATCAAACTTTAAGGTAAGACCAACATTATTTTGCACACGGGCGGCACTCTGCTAGGGGCAGCATTTTAATACATAGTATTAATATTATTACTACAATTTATAATATACACATAATAGTAAATATAAATAACTTAATATATTATATTTATTTTATATTTTTAATATAAATAATAAGCGTGTATTTCTAATATGCGCTTTTCTAATTGATCGAAAAACAAGTTTGGTCTAAAAATATGTCTTTAATATTTTATTATTCAGTAGTTTAGAATTTGTACCTACTCAAATTCTACCTAGGTGGTTAAAAGGAAAACCCATCTATGAGGGGCCTCATATTTTATTTCGCACACCGGCAAAAAAGCTAGGGACGGCCCTGCCTATATGAAACTAACTTTTAAACATATGTATTCCCTTAATAATGTTTAAGGTCCTGTGGCCCAAATGTAAAAGGTACTTTTGTTATATGTAATATTTTTTTTTAATAAAATTATAAAATGTTACAAATAATAGCCTAATGATCTAAGAGTTTTTTCCGTATCCTTACTTTTTGATAGTAGTTCCTTATCAAAATATGAATGATAAGAAGTAAACTTTAAAATGTACAAAAACGTGTTTTTTTATTCAATTAACAGTTATGGCAATTTTTTATAGCATCAAGCAGACCCGTCCCTATCTTTTTCGGGGCCTGGGACAAATATTTAAGGCCCTTGCGTATTAACAGTTGTAGTTATTTCAAAAATTAAAACAAAACTTCATGCAAATTACAATTCACAAACGCAAAATAAGTATGTTTTCCAGAAGGATCTTTCGTGTGAAATGTCAACAATATTAAAAAGCAATTAGCAATACATTTTGTATGTATTTAATTCATCATCTGTGCAATAATGTGTAGACTATACTACTATATCCACTTAAATTTTATGTAATTGGATATATTTTAGGGTGTGTCATTTTTAGGCAACTTTTTTTTTCAACTAAAAAACAGGCTAAAAACTTTCAGGAAGGTAAAAAAAGAAACCTCTAAAAAATTGAGCACTTAATATTAACATTAAGTGGTGCCTGTTGAGCATTGTAAAAACGAACTGCAAAATTATTTTGGTAGCTCTACAAAAAAGTTTCAATATATTTTTTCATAGAGTGAGCCGTTCTGAAGGTATTCAAACTTAAAGTTGCCTTTAACATTTCGAATCGCGAGTCACTGTGAAATCCGAACGGTAATATACCGACTGAGCCGATATAATCTTTTATCAGAGTTATCGAATTTAGTTGAGGTAAAATTATAAAAAATAAAGAAAGATTAAAAATTTAATGCAATAACAAATTCATTGTTTTATTTAATCTATTATAATTATTGAACAAAGTTATTGAAACAAATAACTTTTTTTGATAGTAAATAAAATAAAATGGGAAAAAAATTGAGAGGTAGGTAAGTGTTATTTTCTTTCTATACGAAAATAATTATTTTTTCTTAAAATAATTTTTAAGACATAAAAAAAGTATTAGTTTAATAAAATAAAAGTAATAATTTCATACATTTGCAAGTTTGAATACCTTCAGAACGGCTTACTGTATGAAAAAATAAATAAGAACTTTTTTGTAGAGCGTTTAATTTCCTACCAAAATAATTTTTCAGTTCGTTTTTACAATGCTTAAATGTCAAGCTACAAAAATAAGAAAAAAATAATATTTTTTTCCATGTTATTTAAATGGAAAATGGAAAGTTAGGAACAGGCACCACTTAATGTTATTATTAAGAGCTCAAATTTTTAGAGGCTTCTTTTTCACCTTCCTGAGAGTTTTTAGCCTGTTTTTTAGTTGAAAAAAAAAAGTTGCTCAAAAATGACACCCTAATATATTTATTTTTATATTTTTATTTATATACTCTCTTAAAATGAATTATTAAAAAATTGACTAACTAAGGTATAGTACTTTTAGGTACCTGCACTCAAAACAACCCTGCATGTCTTTATTTATATTTACGGTCATTTTCGACTGTACGACTAATAAAACAAATTTTTAAAGAACATCAACAATTATTGATAAATGCTTAATATAATATTAATAAAAAATCATGCATTCTTGCAAGAAAGTTTTGTATTTTTTTTAACATTTTGTTAAAGTATTTATTCAATGTACAGGGTGTTTTCGTATAAATGAAACACCCCTCTAAAATCTTTATTTGAAGAGATATTAAAAAATCCAGCTTGCATGGTTATTTTATGACTTAAGTTCTTTATTCATGGCAACTATGATTTTTATAAAAATGCATGTGTTTATTATTAATGATGATTCGCGCTTTAAATTTACCACAATTTTCGGGTTAACTATTAACAAAACACTTAAGTAACACAAATATATGTATACAAACTATATATTTTTGAAACCATATTTAAATATTCATAAATATAGGTACACGGTGTTTCATTGAAAAAAACAATGTCAATGTTATTTTATTAAATTCACCGATGCTTTTTTGTTTTTAAATTTTTGTGAAAAAAATACCTTTTTAAACCATGCAAGCTAGAATTTAAATTTTTTTGATATCTCTTCTAATAAAGAATATTATGGCTGTCCCATTTGTAGAAAAACACCCTGTACATGTGCCAGAAGCAAAAATGACCGTAAATATAAATGTTGACCCGCGCGGTTGTTTTGAGTGCTATTTTGCAAATTTTTATTTGATTGTGTGAACATTTTAACACAATAAAGTAAAAATATTTATATCTACAGATGAAGCTCTAAAATTTCGTACATTTTATTAAAAAAAATTTAAGTCACAGTACTTACTTTGAATGTTAAAAATTGGCAATAAAAATAATTTTAATCTCTTAAAAATATCAATCCTGCAGGATTTTTAAGGGAAATAACCGTATCAGAGCCTCCCAGTTGATGTGTATTTACTTTTATGGTTACAATAAATTATAATAAGTATTTAATTCATCATCTATGCAATAATTTGTAGACTATAGACCTATATAAAGGTACTACTATATCCACTTAATTTTTATTTAATTGTATATCTATATTTATTTACATACATTTATTTATATTCTCTCTTAAAATGATTTAGATAAAAATGACTGTCATAGCGAAAAAGCAGACACTAATAATTCTCGTCAACAGCAATTTGTATTCCAGATATTTAGCAGTCAATTATAATCGACATATAGGGTAGGGTTGGAGAATGGCGACCACCTAAGCAAGATTGGTTATAAAATGGTTTGTGGGTAATATTTAATTTTCTAAATATACTTAAGTAATTGGGTAGATTATATAGTTCATATATATATTCAGTGGAATATATGCTAAAATGCACCTTGTTTTTGGTAAAAAAAATATAAACTACAACATGCATTTGGCCGTGATTTCCTATCTAACGGGGTAATAACGACCATCGTACCATCTTGATCAACAAGATTTAGGTTTATAAAATTTGTATTAAGGTAAGTACAAAGAAATTATAGTAAAAAAATGTATTAAAATTAAAAATAAAACAAGTTATTTGTCAGAATATTAAATAATAGGTATATAAGAATATTTTTATAAGTCTAAACGACGTCGCTTTACTTTGTTTTTGTTGTAGAAAAAGTCGCAGCAGTCTTCAGGAGATTCGAGTCATGTAGATTAGAATATAATAGATAACATTACTATCCCTACTTCTTTGCAATTCTCATAAATTTGTAACAAAATATGACTTCCATGGTTATCAAGTATGGGTAAGGCATTCTGGCGATGGTTTCACATGATGCACAAAATGTTTAAGCCAAATAAAAAAAAGATCTTCATTGCTCCAACCATTATTTAAAACATTGTAAATTGCTCCCAGAGGACCATCCTTTTGGGGGAGTGGTGACAATCTCTTCCTCGGATATATAAACATCGGTGGAACAGATGTGCCCGATGCACTTAGGCAGCAAAAGACGGTGACAGTCTTGTTTCTTTCTCCACTGGTTACATATATTACTCTTTTTTGACCTTTTTCAGCTAAAACAGTTTCAGGTTGTTGCACATTCGATATTCCAGTCTCATCGATATGAAATATATTGGTAGGTGAAAATATATACTTTTTCATAACATTTTCAAGGTTTTGGAAAAAAGTTCTATTTCTTCTCGATTGAAGGCCGTCACTCTATTTAAACTTGTGCCTTCTGACTCTCTCGGAGAATAATATAATTTGGGTCTGCAAAGGGAATACCGAATCTCCCGGCAGCTCTAAAAAAATTTCCATCTTTTTGAATGAACGCCAAAGCTGCTCCACCGACATTTTTCGGTCCTTCTTAAATAATTTATTGGCATCTGTAATGAAAACAATACAAAATATGGGGACCACTGTTCGTTATTTCTATATGGGGTAATCGCGATCACTAGTCGTTATTTCCCGACAAATTTGGTCGTGATTACTCGCTTTGACCCAAACATACAATTTTTAGGTTATAAATTAAAAAATAAAAGCCAAGCTGTTTTGGCAATATAGCTTTTGATGCTCATTAAATACACTTTCTGTGCATGATTTTAGAATTAATGACAGTATATTTTTTATCTATTCAGAGCTTAGATAATCTAGCATGCATGCTTAAATAATTACCGCTATTTACATTGTCATTTTTGGAAGATAATAAAGAAATCCACAATCACGTCTATTTAGATTAGGATGAGTCACATATGTCCAGATGGCGCTTCAACTATTATTTCGATATTTGTAGTATTAAAGTAAAAAATAAGGTGATCATCATTACCCCACTTTACCTATGTCAATGACATATATGTCAATGACAATGTAAAATTATTTGCTGAATCCAACAATGTCAAAAGTGATAAAAGTAGAATAGTTTTTAAGACAAAGCCATATAATATGGAATTGACTATATTTCAAAAACTACCCTATGGACAATACAATTCATTAATATTAGAAACAATAAAATGCCAGCATTCCATAGTTACGCATTTTATCTCAGCGGCAATATTTTTTATCATCTTGTTTACACGGTACTAAGGATTTTGACACTTTTTGATTTA